AATAAAGAATATTTTCCTAATTTGAGAAATTACAGTTGAGGGTTATTTACTTTTTTTATTTCTTTCTAACAACAAAAGTTCTATTATTTTACTAATGGTAATATATAAAATTATTTAACTCAAATAAACATTACATAACAGTGAGCATGTCCAGGAATATATTTTAAAGAAAATACTCCATTATTTTACAATAGGTTTACAGAGTATGAGGAACAAACTCAAACCATGGCATTTTAAGGAAAAAACCTTTATTGCATGCAGTAAGAAACTAAAAATGATTGTGGGAAGCATTGATATGCTATTTTTAATACGTTTCTATAGTAATGCAGATTTTTAAAATTCTAATTAAAGTCAAAGCATGCGACAATTACCTTATCAAACCTTACAGGTGTTAGATATTCTAGAACAATTTGTACTGCTATTAATATATCAAGTTAGTTGACAACACTAACTCATTAAAGCTTATTTATTATATCCTTGCAGTATGGTTCTACTAACATCATACTTTTGTTTCGAAGTAGCCAAGATTGAGCACTTTAAACTACACAAAATGGTTGTGAATGCAACTGATCCTGGAAACTTTAAGAGTATCTGAAACTAATATTATTTTGCTATAAGGAAATAATTCATTAAAAAACAAACTAGTGCTAATAATGTAGGAAAATGTGGCTTTGCTACTTCAAATCAAAATCATAGCCACAAATGAAATATTAATTGGCAGATGGAGAGTCTGAACGACAGGTTTTATATAACACTACATTTGTAAGGTTTGTTTTCACAGCAATCTTTTGAAAACCATCAACTTTCATAAAACTTAAATGGGGGGCAGCTAGGTGGCGCAGTGGAATAGAGTACCAGCCCGGGAGTCTGGAGGACCTGAGTTCAAATCCGACCTCAGACACTTGACACTTACTAGCTGTGTGATCCTGGACAAGTCACTTAACCCCACTGCCTAGCAAAACAAAAACAACAAACTTAAATGAAATTTATTTTATCATTTAAGTTTTTGATGGTTATAATACCTAAGCATTGAAACTAGTACATGTGTATACAAATATGTATGTATGTATGTATCAAGTATGGGATAAATTACTTTTTTTAAAGTTACCCTTCAAAAGACAATAAAGAATAACTTATCTGGTTTTGAGCTAAAAAAAAGGAGGGGATGGGGTTATACTTTGAACATTATTTTAATTATTTTCATTTTTCAAACTGATTCACAAACTAACAAGAACTGATGAATACTAGACAACATGAGCAGCTACAGTGAACAGGCTTTAGAACAGTTCTGAATGCACCTTATTCCTTACCCATGGCATCTTTATCTTTCTTGTCTTGGGCTCCTCCTAAGCAGAGATAGTTAAAAGTATGGTTTGGGTATAAGGACAAAAGTTCTTTTAAAAGCAGATTAGGATATTCTAAACCAGAACTGAACAAAGGAATATATAGGTAATTCCTCAACTTAAGCCATTTCATACTTAAGCCTTCTACTTGTATGAAATTAACTAATTAAGCATCCATTTATCTCTTTATTCTAGGTTAAACTAATATATAAACATAAAGGCATACATATTTTTCTTCCCTAGACAATCTTAATAATTCTTTGAAAAGTATTCTGAAGCTCCTTTTATCACTGTTTTAAAGACCTGGTAATCGTTTTTATGGTTTTGGTTGTTGCTGCTAGTTGTTAAGTTGAAAATAATGTTGATAGCTGTTAAAATGAAAGAGGCACTGGAAATAAATATAACAGATTGACTTTATAGCACATTATTTCCTGGTGCCCTTTATTTAGTCTGACAGTGAGCAGCTTTACTTTTAAATGATTTATCAATTAATCAAGAACTAGAAAAGTTCTTTACTTTTTAAAATTAAATACTGAAATACTATTACCATTATCAACAAAAAGCATTTGCTGAAAACCCACTTGAGAAATTTGAAAGTACAACTCAAAAACAATTTACTGAACGATTCTCAATGTCACCACTTACTACAAGAAAATTTAATGCAAGGAAAATAATGCACTGGGATTCAAACTACATTAGGAATCATTCTTTAAGAGACAAAGACCACCCAAATGACTAATGGTTAACCTCTGAACGTTGAAAGCATTATGAACTAAAGTAAAATGAGTGAGAGTTTTTAATCTACTATCTTTATCCACGACAAGTACTAAACTGCTATTCCTGAAATATAAAAGATTTAGAGGAAGACCTGTATCAGATAAGATGGATTCTTTGTGGAGGATCCTATGAGAGAATGGGCAATTATATTTGATAAGATGGCATGATTAGGTTGAAATCTGCACTGATGTACGGAATATTCACAAAAGTGCACTGAAGTATGTAGCATTTTCTGATACCTACATAGTACAATGGGTAGTCATTACCAGGCTACAGGGTAATAAATTTTTTGGTCATAACATCTCTTAAAGCCCATAAGTCATAGGAGGTTTGATACTTATCAGAATGAGTTACCACGCCCATGTAAAAGTACTGATGTACTAAAGAAGTATACTCCTTCATGGCAGAAGCCAAACCAATTTAAATTCTTATATCCTGAGAACTTGGCAAAGTATTTTGCATACAGCAAGTGGCTAAAAAATGTTTGTTGCTAACTGTCAACAATATACACATGCCTATTCTATAGAACTTGAGGCCTAATTTTATTATTTAAAATGAATATAGGGCTTTATTATTACTCTACTTTTAATTTTCTCACTATTTGTCTTATTTTTATTTAATCCTTGGTCAGGAACACATTTAATGCTTTTCCTATAAAAATATAATTTAAAATAATGTATTTTTGACATAATTTTCAAGAATGAAGTGTAATAATGAAATATTGGTATTTTTATAATACTTCTTTTAGTTAAAACATTTATATTTTAAAATGTTTATATGTTGCCTTGGTTAGAAGATCACAGAAAAACATCCTTATAGATTTCTTTTCAGTTCCACTACTGAGTTAACTCCCAACAAGTTGAACAATGTCTTTGCTTATTTTTACTAATTAATTCTCTAGTCTATAAAAACCAATCTCATATGCTATTGTAGTTGTTAATTTTGTTTTAAAGCAAAGAATTCATATACTAGGGACATGACAGCATTGTCTTTTAATATTATAAACAGCAAAATGGTATAGCAAATTTACTAAACATGCAGAAATATAAAATTATTTCTTATTTTTAGCATCTTTTAAACATTTCACTTAGTATATTCTCTCCTTCCTCAAAAAGGAACTTTGAAGACTATCCCTAAATGGAAGATCACAGAATACTCTAGTTATTAAAATATTTATACATTAGAGTAGAACGCTAACTAATTTAACATGTTCAAACTATTACGACTCTTAAGCTGGTCATAGTAAAGGCATATCTCACCTAACATCATTAATACTTGTGATGACATTTGATATTGGGTGACCCAACTTTCAAGGGAAAAATTAGTCTTATCTGAACAAAGTTAATGCACACATAAAGAATAATGTCATAGGTAAGCACACTGATATTAAAGGGAATTAAGACTAATATGAATTAAGCTGGGGTTATCACCAACTGACAAAATAATTGGCCTAATGACACTACAGATAAGCATCAAGGCATTACACTGAAATTTGGTTATGATGCATCGATAATACTATTAAATTAACACTGGCCAGGGTTAATATTCAAAATATGCTTGTGTCTCGTTTTCATATTTCACAAGATTTTTTAGCATAAAGAATAACATTTGTAATCATGTACATATGTAATAAAGACTCTTTAAGGAAAAACTATTATGGTATATAGTGTCAACTGATTTATGAATGAAAAACTCCCTAAACATTTCAATAGAATTATGGGCTACTGTGTTCATCATTTGTGGCTAATTGAAAAGACCTGAATATATCTACTGAGATGTTAATGATTCAGAAGAATTTACACTCTCATAGACGCACAAAAAATAATTTCATCTTTTTTCTACTACCATTAATACAAACTGGAATCTTAAAGTTGACTTAAAAGCACATCAAGTTCACAAGAATGTAGAAATTCAGGATACAATTCACTAAATTAGTTCAATCGACTGTCTCACATTTCAAAAGAGCTTTAGAACCAAGACTGATCATACCTACATGTGCAATAATGCACTATTAAATAAAATAAATAGCAGGAAGTACATGGAAGGAGTTCAAAAGAACTGAATTTTATTTAATATATATAGTGTTTATTTCAAAGCTCTTATGCTAAATTCATGTTTTACTAATAAGCACAAGAACACGAGAAAAACCTTACATTAAAATTTCTTGCAACTAAGAAGAATTCATATGTTAAGATGCTAGCGAAAAATGACTATTCTTGTATGATAAGATATCTTTGTAGTTCTAGCAGCAAATTTATTTTACTATATATAGTCTGTGGGTTACTATAGAAAAGAAAGAAATATGGCATTTATGATATGAGTACAAATTGCAGATATAGGTTTAAGTAGGAGTTACTGAATATGATTCCAATTTCAACACTGTTGCTCTTGAATGATTATTTCAGGTATTTAAAAGCAAAATTATTCTCTCCATTACAGCACTAACTACAACAACATTATGGTAGTGATAAAGACTAGAGTAAATGATAAATCACACTTTAGTTATAAAAGATTTAGTGCTAAAGAATTAGGAATGTACAAGAGTTCTTACAAATCAGTGATGAACTACTGATAAAAACTGCAACAATAAATACTAAATAATAAAAATAAATAATAACACTGGAAAAATACATTTTTGGTAATTCAAGAACAGGTAAGATAGGGGAAAGAAAGGGCTTACGGGGTAAATAAACACACTAGCTTTTAAATTTATTTTAAAAAAACTAAACTTATTAGTGTTTAGCTATGCTATGCTAGTTGCCCATCACAACACAAATGCAGCGTTAGTGAATTGCTAAAATTACAATTAATATAAGATCATTACTGTTGAAAAGCAATGAGATGCTAGAGTTCCACACCACATGACTACTCAGTTATTACCATTGAGGAGTCTGTGGGTGAAGAAAGCCCCTCAGCAGCATCCTCCTTGATAACTTCCTAACAACACAACAAAACAATACAATATGGGTAAATCAATTAAGGCTTCAACCAAAATATGACAATGAATGAAAATGATGTTCAAGAGTATCATAATATTAAGTAAACATTTTATAGATATAATTAAGTTTTAAAAAAAAAACCTTTCAGTAACTTTTTCTGGTAGTAACATTATTTTAGAATTAAAGGGGCAAGTTAATTAATTTTTTCTGAGTTCTAAATCTTTTCAGAAAAATTTAGTTAAGGGGGAAGTGTATTTTTCTCTTTGAACAGATACATAATGGTAGTTTTTTTTTCCCTTTTGAAATTATTTAAATTTGAATAAAACAGAGTTATCATAAAGGACTGGACATAAAGTATATTTAAATACAAAATGTATTTTGTTTCCATTTTGTTTTCTTCTAATATTTTTAAAAATAATTTTAACTAATTTGTTTAACAAAATGCTTTAGGATGGTCTTTCAAAACCTCTCATTTATATAACACAGTAAGTATTTTTAGCTATTTCATGTTCAAGTCCACTGAAAAACAAATGAGAATTCATAGATGGCAACTTTCATTAAAAAAAATACAGGAAAACTATTGTAAAACAGAAGATTATGACTGCAAACAAGTTAATATTCACTACTAACACTGAAAGTAATTTTCCTTCTATATAGTTACTAATTAAACATAAACAAAATACATTTTGCATTAGCAATAGCTTAGTAATTCTTAGAGATTGTTATTAAATAATTTATATTATTTGTACTGAAAGGAAATTACCAGACTTATTTTTTAAGGTCATCTATGTTTATCTAGATCAAAATTTTCATTACCCTTCACATACTTACTAGGCCACTGTTCTGATCTCTGGAAAAACTCGTTTTTATAGATGGACGTGAGATGAGATGTTGGAAACTGCCAGGGTAATACCTTGGCGGATTAACATATGGGACAAAGAATGGCTATGGAAAGAAACATGTAACAAAAAAGGGGGATAAACAATTACAGAAATCAAATTATATTATGATCAAAAGAAACTTAATCAATCCAACAAAACACAATTCCTCTTTTTAAAGCCTAATGTGTAAACTAAAAAGAATCCCAAAAAACCTTTATTTATTTTGCACAGATAATATTATATTAAAAACAAATTCAAGAGAGTGGAATTATTTACATTTTTGCTCTATTCTATCAACACAAAAGATATTATATTTTTTTTAAAAACTGAAGTTTGGCTCCTTTTTGCTTCCAGTAAACAAAATACACAGTACAACCAATTCACAATTAAGTAGTCATTCTATATAAAGAATACTACCAGAAGGATCTAACTTAGATATCATCCAAGGTAGTTTAGCTATTCTAATATGCTAAAAAGAACCTCAGCTATATTATACCCCCTGGCAGTGACCTGAAGGGCAGAATTACATTAAGACTTAGTAGTAATTTTTAATAAGCAAGTATGTTATTGAAAAAGTGTAACACACTGCTCAACTCAAACTTTATGACAATATTATAATTGGATAAACTGAAATTTTGTTTAAAAATTTCACCCTAGCTATGGTAGATCTAAATTAAAGTTCATAAGTCTTAATTCTATTAAGTTTCTGAAACCTGTCTGGTTTTTTTTAGTCCCAAGAGTATTATTCTGCTTTCACTATCAAGGACAAAAAAGGCTATTCCTCAGAAAAATGGGTCAAAAACACTATAATCTTGAGAAAATAGCAATCAATGTTAGTGACTACTCAGCCTAGTTATCTATATTACTTTTCTCTCACTATCTCACTTTTAAAAGATGTTTTCTGAATCTCAAACTCTGAATTAGTATCTAACTATCAATTGACACAATCAGTGCTAAAGTATGAATTTTGACCGGTAAGTGATTTAACATAAAATTTACAAGAATAACATTTCCACTAGACTAAAATAGTGTAGAAACATGACCTTTGCTTGCCAAACTGCTGCTTCTACAGAGAAATTTTATGATGAAAGTTGTTGCATTAAAATTTCACTTAGGAAATTTATTTCTGTTCTAGTAAGAAAGGTAGAATAATCAAGGCAACTGACATAAGATGTCTGTGGCCAATGACCTTACTAATTACATATTGAATTTTATTTGAGTTTCCCTTTCTAAATTAGTATTTTTTAAATCCTCATAAACTGTGCATTCTTTACATCAACAGTCCTTGCACAGCATCCTAAATGTAATGTATTCTGGCAGGTTGATTTTTCCTATCAACAATGGCCCTAGGTAGTAGTTGTAGAACCCAAACTCAGCGTGGAGGTTGCTGAAGATAAGTTGCTGCCATGGAACCACAAAGCACAAATCTAGGATTTACCAAATTTGCCTCGATGCAAGAACTATTGTTTAGGATGACTAATCAACAAAAGATGGTTCTGTCCTCTTCAATTTGGTTGTGTAAGATCAATCCTGTTTGAATTTATTTAAGCTGGTTTCCATTTCCCCAGTCACAAATTCCCTAGTGCATCCAAAGTCATGGTTCATGAGTGTGAACTTCTAGAAAGTAAAAGTAGTTTTACACATTTATTATGAATTCGCAGCTCTACGTTACTGAGAATCATAACATATAGATTATACTGTTTATATTCAAGTACAATTCCTATAAATTTACATTTGTAAGAAAAAATGCATGCTTCTCAAATTTTACTTTGCATTCATAAATATGTAAAATGTCATATTTAACTATAAAAATCAACACTAAAAACTGAGTTTTGAATTTCAGTAGTTTTCTATTTTTACTAACTTTATTTTTTGAGGTACAAAAAATACCAAAAACAAAAAATTGACCAAAGTTTCGAAAGATCCAAATAAACAGGAAGGTGAAGAGAATGAGCATTTATAGATTACCTAAGAGTGTACCAGGCATTACGCTAAGCTTTTTCTTTTTCTTTTTTTTTTTTTTTGGCAAATATTAACTCAACTCATCCTCACAACAACTCTGGTACATAGGTACTGTTAGTATCCCCATTTTACAGATGAGGAAACTGAAATAAACAAAGGCCAAGTGACTTGCTCAGGGTTACACAACTGATAAGCGTCTGAAGCCACATTTGAATTCAGGTCTTCCTGATTCCAGGCCCAACTCCTATCCATAGCTATGCTGCCACCTAGCTACCTCAACTGTCAATTTTAAACATTAAACAAGACAAGTGAAACATGCATAAACAAAAACTGAGGATGATCTTCAAGTTAAATCATGTTTCTATTTATATCAGTGTGTATATGTTATAGAAAATATATGCACATTAGAACAAATTCTGATTGCCTGATTATACATACTATATCAAAATTATTTCCCTATGAAAGTAAAAAGTACATCTTATATTTGGATTATACTTAGAACTCATTCTAATTTAATTTCTCTCTTCTTTCTTGAATATTTACCTCAATAGTCAAGTATTTTAAATACAATCTTTATAGTTTCCTTTGTATTTTAAGAACAAAATACAAGTTCAAGAAAACCACAAACTACTTAATTATGGCATCACATTAAAAGCAAATTCTTGAAATGACAAGACAGTAGCATTGACTTACCCTGTTATAGAAGGGATGCTGAGGTCCTGTCAGGCCACTGTAAGAGCTGCTAGGAGGTTGTGGTGATATCATATTACCAGGAAACGGTCCATTAAAAGAAGTTGAAGAACTCAGAGTTGCAGGCAGACTAAATGGAGACGGGGCTCGAGGATTCACATCTAGCTGCATAGTGGAATACTGAAGTCCCCCAATCTGTTCTCTTGCAGCACGAACATCTAAAATATTGAATTATTCACAGACAGTGGAAAGAAAGAAAAGTATAATTTAAATCTCTATTTTTTTTATAGCCCATATCACATTCAAGTAGGATAAATGATTTTGACTTGCTCAAATCAAAGAAATCTGGAATTAAAGAACTGCTGATTTACACAAATTATTAATACAATTAAAGCTAGCTGACAGACTTCTAGAAACAAGGTGCTTAAGAAAGGGCAGTACTAATTCAGATGATTAAAACTCAGCTGATCAATGAGAAAATTAGAGGATCAATTTCAAAATAGCCTTTCATTTCTTTGTTGAAAAAAAAATTTTAAAAACACAAAATCACTAGCTCTAGTTAGCAAAATAAGATATTGTTGCTAGTCTCAGTTTTTTAAAGGTAACAGGCCATTTCCAAATGGCAACAAAATTTAAAATATTACCATAATTTCAATTTTATTAAACAAACTGAAGATGATATGCTATGTCAAAACTCCTACAGTACTTTAGCACTATTACCAGGGGGAAATAATCAACTGTGGGCTCTTAAATTCTATTTTGTTCACAGTTCTCATTCTCCAAGGGAATCTGAAAATGTCCAATGTCTAACGCTAGTTTAACTTCAATTATACGCATTGCTGTGTGAATTTAGTATGTTAAAAGGAAAAGCTTATTAGAGTTAATAGTCAGTTGTCACTCACATAACATCTGACAGAAAAACTTTTTCCACCTAAAACCTAACATAAGGTGCAGAGATGGATGCAGGCTATCAGTAAAGTCCCCCAATATTTGATAACTTTTCTTATCCCCATGAAACACTATTAAAAAAATTTGTTGTTGTTGTTCAGTCATTTGTATTCAACTTTTTACAACCTCATTTGGTGTTTTCTTGACAGATTTACTAAAATAGCTATTTTCTTCTCCAGCTCATTTTACAGATAAAAAACAGACAAACAGCGTTAAGTGACTTGCCCAGGATCATATAACTCACTTAGCTAGTGAGTGTCTGAGGCCAAATCTGAACTAATAAAGATGAATCTTCCTAATTCCAAGCCTAGTGTTCTATTCACTGGACCACCTAGCTACCACATTAAAAATAATTTTAAAAAATACAGTGGCACAAAAACAAAGGCAGAAACATAACGTTTGAGTCTCTAGCAGCAAAGGTGCTAGTATTAAAGTACAATACACTTTACGTTAAGTCACTTTGATTTCCAAATCTGTCTTGATATTCTACCAGTAGCTAAGTATGGAAGCAGCTTTTAGAAACCCAAAGTTACAGAGAATTCACACAAAATGGGTTCACTCTTACTTTATGACATATTAGCATCATCTCTACTAATGTATCGCACTTTGAGATATTAAAAAAATAAGATGCATAAGCTAGCTGTTGCATTGGAACTTATATTTCAGTTTAGGAGTGACATGTACATGTAAAAATAACTACAGTACAATAACGTTAATATCAAATGAGAAATAGAGAATAATGGTATAGGAAATCAAAGTGTCTTTCCTTGAGCAGGTCAACCAACCTACTACTTTCTCAACTAGCTATTCTGGTTTAAAAAAAAAAAGATAATATTATTAACTTGTCAGAGATAAGAACACTGGAAAGGTTTCCCTCACCACAATTCTCTAAGCTTTCCAAAGCAGAATAACCCACCTACTTAGGATAAACAGAGAACACATTGTCTTGTCATTAATGTTCTGTTTCATCTCTTTAACAGGCAGTGCTGTTTAAGGTCTCTGGCTTTACACCATGTTCTTCTGTTTTCATATATTACTCTAGCCTTGATGATAATTAATAGAGTATAAGAACTTCCTAATATGAACTTTTCACCATTTTGATGTCATGATTTTCATGGCTGTATCCATCAATTAGCTCTCATGACAGACAATTTTTATTCCACAGTTAGAGAATAAATTCTGAACGTCAATGGAAGCTATTAGTTTCAAAGAATGACAGAGAAAAATATAAAGTAAATAATGCTTCCCTGTCAAGATCTTTATAGTTCCTGGTTCCTGAATTTATTATCCAGTATATTAGCTATCCCTTCTTACTTTGGGTCACCTGAACATAACTGGAGCTTACTTGATGCTTCTTGACTAACAGACCTAGAAGTCTGGTTTGCTTACAGTAACAAAGGGAAAATGTGAATTTAGTCTGGTGAAACAGACTTTGTCTCCTCTCTCCACCAAAATATATACTCTACTAGAACTCTTAGGGACAAGAGTTATCTGCTGTTCCCCAGAAAACATTCTTGTTGGAGTAGCAGGAGAGAATGAAAATAAACATTACATGATAAATCACTTGAAACCTTTAATTATTATAAAACATTTAAAATGTCACATTTCTGCCAAACATAGTAAAGAGGGCCCAATTTGAACTTCCTAATGCCTAGGGAACTTCAGGAAATCTAAAAGACCACTTTCCAAGGGACATGTAATGTTCTTCCTATTTACTTATCCCTGATAATGCTCTATAAACTTTAAGGTTCTAGATACAAAGAAGTTTTTCCTATTTGTTTGTTTGTTTGTTTTAGGCAATCAGGGTTAAGTGACTTGCCCAAGGTCACACAGCTAATAGGTGTCAAGTATTTGGTTTGAGACTGGATTTGAACTCATGTCCTCCTGACTTCAGAGCCAGTGCTCTATCCACTGCGCCACCTAACTGCCCCTAGAAGTTTTTCCTATTAATCTTACAGATACCCAGTAACGAAATTTATTTCCTGACCCGAAAGACAAAAATAAAATTTCTCAACTTAAGAATTTAGAATTTAAATTAAAATCTTTCCAGTTAACTATTAAAATGCATCTTGATAATATTTTGTATTTTATATTCTTTAAAGCCTTTCAAATTCCCTTTATATTGATGACTCCTTTCAACCTTTACCAAATCTTCCTTTCCCTTAAATCGCTAAAGATTTTCTCACCACTTTCTTGTTTCTGTTGAAATTTGACTAAAAGAACTACTTGGAGAGTGAGGCCTGAGGGAAGAGAAAACAAGTCAGCAAGAAAACTACCTGGTTCAGTTAGTTCAGGAAGCCTCCACAGGACCAAGAAGAAATACTGTCTCCATTTTAAAAATGGATAAAGGATGATACCTGAAAACTATACATCAACAAATCTGACTGCAATTCCTGGTAAAAATTGCAGCCTGGAGTCAGGAAGGCCTGAGTTCAAATCTAGCCTCAGACATTTACTAGTTGTGTGATTCTAGTCATGTAATTTAACCTCTTTTTGCTTTGCTCATCTGTAAAATGAGGATAATAATATCATTTACTTCACAGGACTGTTGTGAGGATCAAATGAGATAGTAATTGTAAAGTGTTCATCACAGTGCCTGGTACATAGTAAGCATTATATATTAGTGATTGTTATTATTATCATTATTATTGCTGTTGCTGTTAAAATTGTGGAATGCATTATTAAAGCTATGGTTAGCAAACATATAAAAATGGAAATGATGATGGCAAACAGCTAGCACGGCTGCATAAAAATAGGCCATGAGAGGCTAACTTTATTTACATTTTGATATAAAACAGGTAAGGAATGTTGTATATAGGAAAATTCCTCAACCAATGCAGATCAACAACTATTCTGTAATTGTAGTATTAATTCTACCCGTCACATTTGAGTTCAGTGACTTGTCCACCATCACGTAGCCAGTCTGTTATCAGAAGTGGAATCTGAATACAAGTTGCCTTTCTATTCATTAAACCAAAATATTTCATACATTTCATATGGGTAAATGTCTTCAATTTGGGTTCAAACTTTTTTTTTTAAACAACGTAGGGCAAGCAAAGTAAGACAAGCAGCTTTTATGACAAAGAGCTGGAGATATTTGTGGATGTCTAATGGTAAAAGACGCATAAAAATTCACTGAATAAAAAAACTCCTTAAAAAGTAGAATAGGCCAAATGGAAAAGGAGGTGCAAAAATTCACCAAAGAAAAGGACTTCTTAAAAAATAAAACTGACAAAATGGAAAAAGAGATACAAAAGCTCACTGCAGGAAATAATTCCTTAAAAATTAGAATAGGGCAAGAGGAAGCCAATGACTCCATGAGACATCAAGAAACAATAAAGGAAAAGTGAAAAAATAGAAGAAAATGTGACATATCTCACTGGAAAAACAGCTGACTTGGAAAACAGATTAAAGAGAGATAATTTAAGAATTATAAGACTACCTGAAAACCACGATCAGCAACCCAAAAAATAAAGCAGCCTAGACATCATCTTTCAAGAAAATATGAAGAAAACTGCCAAAGAATTCACTGATCACCTCCTGAAAGAAATCCCCAAATGAAAACTCCGAAGAACATTATATCAAAATTCTCCCAGGTCAAGAAGAAAATATTCCAAGCAGCCAGAAAGTATCCATTCAAACACCATGGAACTACTGTAAGGATCACACAAGATTTAGCAGCTTCTACATTAAAGGATCAGAGGGCTTGGGATATGATATTCCAGAAAGGAAAGGAGCTAGGATTACAATAACCTACCCACCAAAACTGATTATAATCCTTCAGGGGGAAAAAATAGACATTTGAGGAAAAAGAGGACTTTAAAGCATTCCTGATGAAAAGACTAGAGCTGAATACAGTTATCCCTTCCACACAGTAACTCTTCCCATCGCAGTTTCAATATACTACAGGTTGGCATGAGAAATTAAATGGGAATTTTGGGGGAAGTATTGCAGAAGCTACAAATGACACATGAAAGTTTAGAAGCTCAGAAATGCATAAACTATGTGTATAGTATTGTCTATTATCAATATATTTTATCTTTTAATACCATAATAATTCAGATTCCTTCTCTGATATGAAGAGAGGGCCAAAAAATTTTAAACAGATTTTCCAGACTGCGGGGCCCTACGTCCCTAATCCCTGCAATGTGGATGGGATCACTGTAGAAAATTTGACAAGCAAACACAAAACTCAAAAGAAGCATGAAAAAGGTAAACGTGAAAGAATGATCATAAAGGACTCAATAAAGTTAAACCATTTACATTCTTACATGGGAAGATGAATCATATAACTCCTAAGAACTTTAGTATTATTATTATTATTAGGACAGTCAGAAGGAGTCTACATAGACAGAGGGCAAAAGTGTGAATTGATTTTGTTGATGATCTACAAAAAAAAAATGAAGGGGTGAGAAAGAGGGATGCACTAGAAGGAGGAAGGGAGAGGTAGAATGGTAGAATGGGACAATTTTTCTCACATAAAAGCACAAGGAAGAATTTTTATGGTAAAGGGGGAAAAGAGGGGTGGGTGTGTAATGCTCATCATAATTGGTTCAAAGAAGGAAGAATATACACACACTCAGTTGGTTACAGAAATCTATCTTACCCAACTGGAAAATAGGAGGAAAGGGGATAAGATATATTGGGGGTAGGAGAAATGGGAGAGGGAAGCAAGAGAATGATAAAAAGGAAGGCAGATAAAAAAGAAGCAAAAAGATTTTTCAGGAGAAACAGGATAAAAAAAGAGAGAGAAGGATAAATAGAAGAAAATAGGATGGAGGAAAATACACGGTAATCATAACTGTGACTGTGAATGGGATAAGCTCACCCATAGAATGGAAGCTGATAGCAAAATGGATTAGAAACCAGAATCTAACAATATGTTATTTATAAGAGACACATTTGAAACAGAAAGACAAATTCAGAGTTAAAATAAAGAGCTGGAGCAGAATCTATCACATATCAACTGAAGTAAAAAAAAGGCAGGAGTAGCAATCATGATATCAGAAAAGCAAAAGGAAAAAGAAATCTAATTAAAAGAAATAATCAGGGAAACTATTTTGCTAAAAGGTACCATAGACAATGAAGTAATATCAAAATATTTAAAGAAAGTTTCTCTAATAAAGGCCTCATTTCCCAAATATATAGAGAATTGAGTTAAATTTATAAAAATAAGAGCCATTCGCCATTTGATAAATGGTCAAAGGATATGAACAGGCAGTTTTCAGAAGAAGAAATCAAAGTTATTTATAGTCATACAAAAAATGCTCTAAGTCACTACTGATTAGAGAAAGGCAAATTAAAACATCTATCAGGTACCTCCTTACATTTATTAGAAATGACAAATGTTGGAGGGGATGAGGGAAAACAGGCACACTAATAAACTGCTGGCAAAGGTATAAACTGGTCTAACCAGCCTAGAGAGCAATTTGGAACTATGCCCAAAGAGCTATAAAACTATGCATACCCTTTGACCTAATAATAGCCCTATTGTCTCTCAAAGAGATCAAAGGAAAAGGACTTGCATGGACAAAAATATTTATTGCAGCTCTTTTTGTGGTGGCAAAGATTTGGAAATTAAGGGGATGCGCATTAATTGGAGGATGGCTGAACATGTGGCATACGATTGTGATAGTGTACTATTGTGCTATAAGAAATGACAAAGGGATTAGTTTTGATGTGGTGCTTGGGTGATTACGCTTGGGTGCTTATGTTTGGGTGCTTTTACTTGGACCCCAATTTCTCCCCAGCCTCAGAAACACTGTCCCTGACAGTTTCTCCCCAGCCCAAGGACACTATGCCTAGCAGTTACTCATGCATGGGCCCCAGCACAACCCTTACCTCTCCCTGGTGCAGCTACACAAAGCTGGGTGAGAGAGTGCTGGGCTGCTCAGGCCCTAGCCCTCAGATCATGTCTCCGGAAGCCTCCCAACTCCTTAGTAAGTTACTGTCTTGCAAGAAAGCTTTCCCTTGTTGCAGAACATTCTCTCATCAAGACAGAGGGAGAGGGGTGCCTTGCCCAGCCCAAGGAGTTTTGTCCTTGGCCAGCCCAAGGACTTTTTCTCCTGCCAGACTCCAAAGATCCATACCTCTGTCATCTCCCTCCCTGTCTGGTATACTCCCTGTACTTTCCCCATCCATAGCCCCCAAAGACATCTGCACCTTTGGATTACCTCATCAGTGTCCCTGGCATTTCTTTCCCATGCTCTTTTCCATATAAACCCTAGCTGCATTCTCAGTCTCTCACAGGATCCTTTAAGAATCCTTGCCCCCTGAAAAGCATAACAATAAACTTTGCCACCTTGGCTTAAAGAATGCTTGAGTCTGTGAATTCATTCCAGACAACCCATTGTGTACTTCAGTCTTTGAGGGGTCACAACCTCTCAACCTCTTACACCGCAACAGTTTCAGAAAAATATATAGCAAGACTTACACGAACTAATGCAAAATAAAGTGAGAGGAACCGGGACACCACTGTGCACAGTTAACAGCAATGTTGTTGATCAACTGTGAAAAACTTAGCTACACTGCAGTGATCCGAGAAATTCTAAAGGACTCATGATGAAAAAAATACTATCCACCTTCAAAGAAAGTACTAAGGAACTCAGTGAAAACTGAAGTATAATTTTCTCACTTTCTTAAATAATAAATTCATCAAAGTACATTAGAAAGAAGAATAAGAATCAGATTAGATTAAGTTGCTATTGTTAATAGTTAGGGATTAATGTTAAAGATAACCAAATTCTATTTGTTTTAAAAGTGTAAGTCTACTTGCTCTTTAAGAAATCTAATGTTTAATACTATTATTTTCAAAGGATAATTGATTTATATGTGAAATGAATCTCAGAGACCATCAAGTAGAACCTCCTCAATGTTTTATTAGGAGCCTGAGGCTAAAGAGGCTAAGTGACTAGTCCAGGATAACACAGCTAGTAAGTGTCTGAGGTGGGATTTGAATACAAGTCTTCCTGCCTTTAAGCCCAGCATTATTTAAGTGAAGTTATCTTAATAGCTTCCTCTCTTTCATTTAAAAATTCACAATTCCCTTGAAAAACAGATAGAGAGATGGATACACAGAAAGAAAACTTACAGGAAAAAATAATTTGGTAATAATAGCTAAGATTTATAATAATACTTCAAGATTTGCAAACTGCTTTATATATTGTTTCATTTGATGCTTACAACAATCCTATGAAGAATCTATTAAAAAGACAACTAAGTGACCTAGAGGATACAAAACTAAATCTGGAGTCTGGAAGAGCTGAATTGAAATCCAGCTTTAGAGATGCCCTCGCCATGTAATTTTGGGTAAGTCACTTAACCTCTTTCTTCTTCATCATCCTCATTCAAAGGCAAAATGAGGATAATAATAGCACCATTTGTAAAACACCTTGCAAATCTTAAAGTTCTATAGCTAATTCTTATTTTAGCTATTATAACTCCTTAATTCTCCCATAAGATAAGGTATTAATTACCTACAATATATCTTAGAATTTATCCTTACAATATATCCTTAAAAGGCAGATCGAAAACAGATACAGCATTGTCAGAGTCATCTATAAAATGCATAAACTTATTATTGGAAAGAACCTTAGAAAACTAGTACAACCTCTTGATTCTAGATAGGAACTCAAGTCAGTGAAATGAATTGACATACCAAAGATCAGAGAGATAGTTATTAGCAGAGCCAGGACTAGAATTCATCATGCTGACTCTCAGACCAAAAAGAAAGAGTGTTACATGGAACTGCTGGTAAGTCAGTGTAGCTAGATCACAAAATGCATAGAAAGCAGTAAATTATGCTGCCATCCATTGTCCCAGGAGAAATTTAATAAATTGAGTAAGAAATAGTGAAGCTTTGAGAGCCTCAAGTATCATGAAAACTTTACATACTTAAAAAAAAATCTAATCACTATTACCCACCTGCAATAATTTCTCGAAGCTTGGGATCCAGGTTTACAGTACATGGCAAAAAGGTTTTTACATCTCGAGCCACAAGAACTGGTGTTCGTGAAGACAAAAACACTTCAAAGTTCCTTATGTCACCGTCAATTTCAAGTAATGGCTCAACATCTTTAGTTGTTGGGATATTCTTTGATATTCTTTGAAAAAAAAAAGAAATAAAGACACCAATGTAAAATAGTCAATATTATCAATGTAAAAGCAGATTCTGCTAAAAGGTTTAACAAAAATATTTTGTTTCTCTTAAAAACTAAGTAATAGCAACAGTCATCAAAACTTGTTGATATTGGTTAGAAAAATACATAAATGAAACAGACTAGATAAAATAGAATCAGAAATAACATAATTCAATAACTCAATTTTTAATAAATCATATATATATAAGTTATTTGGGAAAAAACCTCCCCATTTGATACGAACTGCTGGAAAAACTGGAAAGAATCTGGAAAAAATAGGTTTAGACCAATATTTTATGCTATATTACACAATAAACTGAAAATGGATATGCAACTTTAATATTAAAGATCAGCTCATAAGGGAAGTAGAACATGTATCTTTCATAGTTATAACTGGATATATTCTTAACCAAACAAAGGATAGAGGCAATTAAAAACATTTTTAAAGAGATAATTCTGATTACATAACATTCAAAGGCTTCTTACATCTAGGACAAGAAGGTAAGAAGCAGAATGGGAAAATTCATTTGCCACAAATTTATCAGATAAAAGTTTATCATATATATGTATATATACATATATGTGTATGTATATGTATGTATGTGAAGCTTTGTGCATTTTTATATATGAAAAACTAAAATATAACACCAAAAACTATTCTCTGATACATAAATGGTTGGATGATATGAACAAGCAGTTCTCAAAAGAACTGCAAACTATTAACATCTGAAAGACTGCTTCAAAGCACTAAAATTTTTTAAAAACTGCAAATCAAAATAACCCAGAGGTTTCACCTTTCCCCTAGAAAACTGGCAAAGATGGTAACAGATGAAAAGACTGAAGGGGTCTGGAAAGACAGACACACTAATACACTATTGGAGATATAAAAAGCATTCTGAAAAGCAATATAGAATTATGTGAATAAGAGGCTAAAATATCCATATCATTTGATGGAAATTCTACAAAGGGAAGGCAATAAGCATTTACATAGTGCCTATTATGTGCCAGGTACTGTGCTTTTAACAAATATTATCACATTTTATCCTCACAACAACCCTGAGAGATAGATGTTATTATTATTTTCATTTTACAAACGTAGAAACTGAGGCAAACAGAGGTTAACTGACTTGCCCAGGGTCACACAGCCAATATGTGTCTGAGGCAAAATTTGAACTAAGACCTTTTCTTCCAGACTCCAGGGCCAGCACTCAATCTACTGTGCTATCAACTGCCTCTGCTAGGCATATACCCCAAATCCAACACTGATAAAAAGGAAGTCTCAAATAAAAACAAAATATTTATAGAAGCACTTTTTGGGATAGAAAAGAACTAGAAACAAAGTAAATGTCTATCAACTGAGTCATGGGTAAACAAAACTGTTATACATGAAGGTAATGGAATATTCTGTGCTATAAGAAATTATAAATGTGATAAACGTAGAAAAGCATGAAAAGACTTACATCAACAAATTCAAAGTAAACGGCGCCAAACAAGAAGCATGACACCAACAAGGTAAATAAAAAGAAACATCACCATAATGTAACTGAAATTACAAAATTACAAAAAACAAAGATAGCCGCAAAGAAGAGACATGAGAAAACATCTCCCCTCTCCTTATTGCTTTTGAAGAGGTAGAGGATTCCAGGGGATAAAATATTAAAAAGATTATCATTTTTTTGATGCGTTGATCAATTTTACTGATTTTTTTCTCCTCTTGTTCCTTTTCTTTTTTATAAATTCTTTTAAAAAAAAAAGAGATGGATCTCTGAACAAGAGAGGGATACATATACAGACAGAAATGTAGGCACTGAAAAAACAAAAGTTATTAATAAAAATTTAATTTGAAAAATGTGACAAATATCTTTTTGGAAAAATACAACAAAGCAAAATGGTTAAAAATTGTATTTTAACAGAAAGCATTACAATTAAAACTGAAGATTAAGGAAAGCATATTAGATAACAGTTTAAAACACATTTCATGAAAGAAATTATTAGACCAATACATCGACAGTTTTCAACTATAGTGACTGAACTAGTTTTAGCCTTATTTTCTGAAAAGGCCAACAAATTTACCTTCCTCTTCATCTGACATCACTAAGATACCTTCTGCTACTATCTCCTCCTTTTATCCCTGTGTCACATGAAAAGAGTGGCCCTTCTTGCCAAGGCAAATCCCTCTATATGCAGAAGTGATCCTGTTCCTTCCCATTTTCTCCAGCACATTGCTCTGTTACCTCCATTCTTTCACTTACCTTTAATCTATTCCTTTCTACTGGCTGCTTCCCTACTGCCTATAACATTTCCATGACTCATTAATCCTCAAAAAACCCCTCAGTTGAGTCAACCATCTTCACAAGTCCTGTCATTTCTATCATCCTATAGCTCTCTCCTCCCTCTTGTGATGAAACTCCTGGAGAAGGGCATCTATAATAGACACCTCCATTTCCTTTCCTCTCACTCTCTTCGTAGTCTGGATACCTTATCACTGAGGCAAAGCTGCTCTCCTCAAAGTTACCAATGCTCTCAGAACTGTCAATTCTAATGGTCTTTTCTCAATCCTCACCCTTACTGACCTCTGTAACCCTTGACATTGTGAATTACCTTCTCCTTGAAACTCTCTTGTCGCTAGTGTTTTTGAGACACTACTATCTCCTGGTTCTCCTCCTAACTATGTGACCTCTCCTTCTCAGTCTCCTTTGTTCCATCTTCATCAGGTAACACTTTGCTAACTGTGTGTCACACAGAGCCACAGGGCTCTGCCCTGGGCATTCTTCTCTTCTTATCTTATGAATTTGCATGAATTCAATTACCATTTCTATACAAATGATTTTCAGATTCATTTGTCCTCTTTTGGGACCTCCAGTCTTGCATCTCCAGCTGCCATTTACACATCTTGAATTGGATGTTCCAGCCACATATTAAACTCATATCCAAAGCTGAAGTCACTATCTTTCCCCCATACCTTACCTTCTTGCTGTTACTATTAAAGGTACCACCATCCTTCTAATCACTCAGGCACACAACCCAGGTGTCATTCTCAGTTTTTTTTACCCTGTAGTCAGTGGCCAAGTCCTGTTGCTTCTGTCTTATCTCATACATCTCTCTCTCTCTCATACATCCCACCTATTCTCCTCTGACGCTGCCACCAGCCTAGAATAAGTCTTCATCACCTCACACCTGCAATAACCTGCTGGTTGGTCTCCCTACCTCAAAAGTCTCTCTCCACTGAATTCTATCCTCCACTCAGTTGTCAAAATGGACTTCCTAAAGCACAGGTCTGACCAGGTCACCTCTCTAATCCATAAATTCAGGTGCCCCTTATCTCCAGGTTCAAATACAAAATTCTCTGGCTTTTAAACTGCTCATAACCTAGCCCCTTCTTGTCTTTCCTGTATTCTTACACTGTACACCCCATCCCTCACCCCTACCAACATACTCTATAATTGTGACACTTGGCCTCCTTGTTGTTCTTCACACATGACACTCCCATCTCTCAATTCAGAGTACTCAGTAGCTGTCCCTTTCCCACACCTGGAACTCACTCCCTACTCATCTCCACTTCCTACCTTCGTTGGCTTCCTTGAAATTTCAATCTTACTTTTTGCAAGCTTTTCCTAGTCCTTCTTAATCTTATTTTCTAAATATCTTTTCTGGACATAGTTGTTTGTTGCTATCTCCTCCCTTAGACTGTGAGCTCCCTGAAAGCAGGGGCTGTTTGCTATTTGTCACTTTTTGCATCTCTGGCATTCAATACACAGTCCCTGGAACTTAATAAATGCTTCCTAAATGATAGTTGACTGACAAAAGTTTTTATGATTTGTGGATAACACTAATTATAATTCATAATTATTACTTCATATAAAATTTTAGGAAATAAAATGTGGGAAACTTGATGAGAGGATTCAACTTTCAGCTCACAAAATTTCTTCCACAAAAAGAGACAGAACATTGCTTCAGAGGGAACATAAAGCAGAGGAAATAAACACAAGTTGGGGTAAAGCAGCTGTCCTCTTAAGACAACTTAAAAAGACCCCAAGAAAGACTCAACCTCCAGGGGAGGAGGTTCAGCCTGAATGAAGTGCAAATACCTCCAGGCTCTGCAGAATCCACAAGCAACAAGCCCTGGGGGCAGCTGGGGTTGGGGGGGCAGCCTCTGCCTCAGAAACTTCTTCTGGTGGACAGTGTGGGCTTTGAAGGCTAAGTAGGAGGAGACTGAAGGACCTTCTACTGTTGAGGGATGCCAAGCATAGCTGTGCTAACCAGACAGTCCCTGGCTGCAGCTGTAGGGGAGAATAAACTAGTACACACCTGATGAGTGCATTAGCAGAGGGGCAGGGACCCTGATGGCTGTGTCCACTTGAAAGAAAGCAGAGTCTCTGCTTTCACTCCCAGGGTAGAGAGGACAGCTGTAGTTTGCAGCCCTTAGAGATCACAGGGAGCAAGATCATTTGCAGGACAGCATGGCTGGGGAGTGGAGAGGAAAGCCGAAGGTTGGGCCCTGGGACAGATCTCAGAAAATAACAGTAAGAAGGACCTGAGATTTGGGGCATCATTCGCCATACCTTAATTACACTAATAGCTGCTAAATAAATGAATGAATAAATGAATAAAGATGAGTAAGCAAAGGAGAAAGAACCCAACCACAGACAGCTACTATGGGGATAGAGAAGATCTGGGCTCATATTGAAAGGAAGATAACGGAGCTAAAAAAAAAAAAGCCAAAATTTTTATGGTGCTTGGGACCATAAAAAGAGTTCTTGAAAGAACCTAAAAAAGACTTTTAAAATCAAATAAGAGAGATCGAGGAAAAATTAGAAGAAAAAAAGGGCAATCCAAGAAAATCAAGAAAATTATGAAAGGAAAAATTACTTAAGGAAGAAAATTCCTTGAAAACTAGAAATGGACAGGGGAAAGCTAATGAAATTCTAAGACACCAAGAAATAATACAACAAAATCAAAAGAAT